TCCATATCTCAAATTTATTCCTCTATATATTCATAGACGTATATCTGTGCAGATGCATGTGTCCATTTATGAGTACATGACTAAGTGTTTGTGTGTATGTTTTGGATATTTGTGTATGCACGTTTATGTTTTATATGAATAAACATACATAAATACAAAATTTATCTAAACAAATACACACACACATACATATACACACATGTATATATATATATATATATATATATATATATATATATATATATATATATATATAATATATATATATATATTCTAGTGATAATTTCAGTAGTGATTTTTCACTCGGGAACCGCTGTATCAGTATGAAAAGGAGAACCAGGACTGTGGCGAATATCTTTATTATGTAACGTTTCGAAGATATCAAATCTCCATCATCAGACTAGAAATAATTAACAAAGAACACAATTAGATAGAACACAAAAAACACGACAAAAAAAATTCATAGAATAACAAAGTCAATGGGTATCAGAAGTGAACTAAAAAGAAAAGGACATAAACATTTTGGTAAGATACAAACTATGGGTAAGGGTGAGAACATGCTAATAAACAGGTGTGAAGTGCTCGTTACTGTGGTTGGGCTATACTGTTAACAACTGAAAGACTGTTGGTGTTTAACTCGGGTTCTATCATCGAAACGTTACATAATAAAAATGTTCACCACATCCGGGCGGTTCTCCTTTCATACTGAGACTACGGTTCCGAGTGAAAAATCAACTACTGAAATTATTACAAAGATATGGCCAGCCAACACTCAAGACCTACAGATGTGTCAACANAATATATATATATATATATATATATATATATATATATATATATATATATATAATATGTATGTGTGTGTGTGTGTGTGTGTGTGTGTGGTGTGTGGTGTGTGTGCTGTGTGTGTGTGTGTGTGTGTGTGTGTGTGTGTGTGTGGTGTGTGTGTGTGTGTGTCCATATCTCAAATTTATTCCTCTATATATTCATAGACGTATATCTGTGCAGATGCATGTGTCCATTTATGAGTACATGACTAAGTGTTTGCGTGTATGTTTTGGATAATTGTGTATGCGTGTTTATGTTTTATATGAGTAAACATACATAAATACAAATTTATCTAAATAAATACACAGACACACATACATATACACACATGATATGTATATAAATTATATATATATATATATATATATATATATATATATATATATATATATATATATATATATTCTATTGATAATGTCAGTAGTTGATTTTTCACTCGGGAACCGTTGTATCAGTATGAAAAGGAGAACCAGGACTGTGGCGAATATCTTTATTATGTAACGTTTCGAAGATATCAAATCTCTATCATCAGACTAGAAATAATGAAGAACAACAATTAGATGGAACACGCACACACACACACACACACACACACCACACACACACACACACACACACACACACACACACACACACACGCACACGCACAACACACACACACACGCACGCACACACACACACACACACACACACACACACACACGACAAAAAATAATTCATAGAATAACAAAGTGAATGGGTATCAGAAGTGAACGTAAAAGAAAAGGACATAAACATTTTGTTAAGATACAAACTATGGGTAAGGGTGAGAACATACCAATAAATAGGTGTGAAGTGCTCGTTACTGTGGTTGGGCTATACTGTTAACAACTGAAAGACTGTTTGTGTTTAACTCGGGTTCTATCATCGAAACGTTACATAATAAAAGTGTTCGCCACAGCCCTGGTTCTCCTCTTCATACTGAGACTACGGTTCCCGAGTGAAAAATCAACTACTGAAATTATCACTAGAAGATATGGCCAGCCAACACTCAAGACCTACAGATGTGTCAACAAGATCTTCAAAATCAAGAAAATAGAATTGGACCTGAAATTTCTAAATTATTGTAAACTATATAATACTATCCCCAACTTCTTCGGATTTAAACTGTACGGTAAGTCTTTCCTCTCTACAAACACCTATAAATCATGGGTGTTTAAACTACTTGACTGCGAAATCAAAAGTCAAAGCAGAAAACTTGCAAGACTCAAGGACAGATAACCATGTTCTTGACTTTAAATCAAAAGTAGGTTTCTTCGATTTTAAATGCCTCTTAGCTTTGATTAATCATAATGTTGTTGAAAAGAATGTCTTCTGTTGAAGAAATCCATCTCAGAAAGTTAAAAGAATTTAGGTATCGACTTCAGAAACAAAATCGATGCCAGCAAAGTAATCTGTAACTTTTCAGACAGAATTCTATCTGAAGATGAGAAGAAAGCCTTATCTCTTGGTTTAAATTTTGGTTTACGGCCCCGAAAATTTAGCTATGTGAATTTCTTTGTTCATTTTGAAAGAACCTGCCAAATGCTTAAGAACTGTAATATTTACAAATATACATTCAATGCAGTTTGTAACAAAAATTCTGCTCTTGCTAGCAATATGTATGTACAGCATTGCAGAGAATCTATGCACAACCCTGACCAAAATTTAAAAGATGATATGATTGTGATAATGAGACCAGAGAAAGGAAAAGGAATAGTAATCTTGAACAAAACTAATTACTATATCAAAAAAAATATAACCTGACCAGCCACTTATAAACTCCCTTCTTGCTTCTGGCTCTCGTCCCGGTTGTTTATATGGACTCCCCAAAGTTCACAAGATTGGTATACCTCATAGACCTATTGTTTCCTCACTTAACACATTCAATTATAACCTGGCTAGATTCCTTGTCCAAATCATCTATCCCATTTCCACAAATGAGAACACCATTGCCAACACCTTAGATTTCATGAACGAAATAAAAAAACAACAATATATTGAGAGTCAACAAAAATGGCCAGGTTTGAATCAGTTTTACGAAAGTTCCTCTATCAGAAACCACGCAGATTATTAGATACTTTATCGGATGAATCTTTATCACAATTTGGTCTAAACAAAAAGCATTTAAATTCATTTTTAATGTGGCCACAAATGACTCTGTCGTTGCCTTTATATATACATGCGCATATATATATGTGTGTGTGTGTATGTGCGTGTGTGTATGTATATATATGCTTGTGTATGTTGTGTATGTATGTGCACGTGTTTTTTTTTTTTTTTTTTTTTTTTTTTTTTTTTTTTAAGATAAATTTGCATCTATATGTTTATTCATATAAAACACAAACGCGCATACACAACTATCCAAAATATACACACACAGCCTAGCTATGTACTCATAAATGCACACATACATATACACACATAATGACTATACGTCATTAATTTTTGAAGTGATTACTTAATTTCTATCGAGCAAATATGATTAACAAATCAGTCGTGACCATAGAAAATAAAAGCGTATAGGGAGTACTGGTCTTTGCATAACTGTCTCTTAGCCATATAAAAGGGTGAGGACACCTCTTGGCGTTACTCGCATCGTCATCACCATGAAGACTGCACTCATCCTGATCTCGGTCTTGGCTGCCTTCGCCAACGCCTCGGTGCTTCGAAGCTCTTCCGTGGAGCAAGCGCCAGCCACTGTCCGTGTGAGCGGAAGCCGATCCTCTCTCGAGCCCCTTAAGCTCACTGTGAAAGCCTTTAACGAGGAGCATCAGCTTCGTCTGCAGCCTGCCCCCTCGCCCCTGGCTGCGGAATTCAAGTTGCAGACAACCGCTCGCGACAGTCAAGGACGACTGGTCATTGAAGACGCACCACATGACTCGCTCGTTCCTGATCTATACCATGACCCCGATACTGGTGCCGTGGTCTCCGTGGACGGCACTCAGGTGGAAGGCCTCATAACGCCCACACTTGCCATCAAGGCAAACAAAGACGGAACTCACCAGGCACAGCGACAGTACATAGCTGAAGCCGGCGCTTACAACGACTACTTGGAAATTCCCACAGAAGTCCGTCAGTATCAAGCACAAGCTAAAAGCCC